TGAGAGGGGAGGGGCGCGGGGCAAAGTTTCTTCGACACGAGGGCCCAACACCACAGGATGGTTGAGGTAACGACTTCGTCGGAACACACAGCATCACATCTTTACAGCGAAGCGTAATCCCCCTCCCACGCGCATTGCCGCGTCCTTCCCCTCCTCCCTGCCCTTTTGCCGTGCCCAGGAGCTGGGCCGCCGGCTGCCAGACGTGGGGAGAAGCGTGGCGGACGGCCTGCAGGATTCGGATGGGTTCGGTAGCAAGTCATGGGAGCCTGGTGTACCCTTTCAATTCCGTCTATAGCGTCGGTTAGCGTCGATTAGCGTCTGGGGGTCGATGAGAGAACGCCGATCTAGCGTCAGTTAGCGTCGGTTAGCGTCGATTTAGCGTCGATTAGCGTCGACTAGAGTCGATTAGCGTCGATTCGCAAGAGCCGACAAGATGGTATGGGAGGCTCCCATGAGTTGCCACCGAAGATGGGGAGGAGATGGGGGGCACGGGCAGTCTCTCCATGGGGCTCACGATGCGGGATGGGGTGGCGAACCAACAGCACGCACCCATACCCATAGAGGGGTCGGAGAGAGCTATGGGTTCGTGTTGTCGGGTGGGGGTCCCCGCTCGAGCGGGAGCGTTCCCCAGGGTCCGACAACCCGCACCCATAGCCATAGCCAGTCTTCCTCCCAACGACCCCCCTATGGGTATGGGTGTGTGTTGCTCGTTACTCAAGGAGGGCGAGCCGAAATAAGAAGGGGGGAAGCCATGCCGACTTTGCCGCTTTGGCCTTCGGTGGAGCTCCGTACACTTGGAGAAGGACAAGGTACCCATACCTGGACCATTGCTGAGTTTTTGCTTTTTTGGGCCTCTTGGGTGGCCTTCGTTGTCACCGCTGGATTCGCTTCGACATTCAGGTCAGAACTTACCTCGGGAGAAGCAGCAGTATCGGTACCTTTTTGTCCCCCATATGCGGCCGCGATGAGTTAGCGGGACGTGCCGACATGAAGTGGATGCCCAGTGGGGCCTTTGGTGGAGTTCCTTACTAGGCCACGAGCCGCCTGAGAGGTGTGCGGAAATTGGCGGAGGGAGTCACGACACGTGTGAGGGGTGTGCCGAACCGGGAGGGAGGATGCAGTACGGGCTTTACCATTGGAGCCTTCAATGGAGCTTCTTGTGGCCCGTGGGGCAACGAATCCATGGACGGGAGCTGGCCGACTGGGTTGAAGTCAAATCGTAACGTCGAATATGTCTCAGTCCATGTCTCGCCAGAAGTCGCGCGTGGCCAGGACAAAGAGGAGGGATATCATGGAGAGGAGGATGAGGGGCAGAAGGTGGAGGAGGAGAGCAGTAGGATAACGAAGAGGAGAGAGGAGTGGAGGACAGGGAGGGGGAGGAGGACAAGCTAGGTGCGCTCGCGTCATATCTGACATCCTACCCCTCCCTCCCATCCCTTACCATGGCGCAGATCCCCTCTCTACTCGCACAGTCGGATGTCGAGCAGGGCAATGATCCCGAAAGGGTACGCGATGCATTGTAGAGCACGGCATGGCATGGCGTAGAAGAGCACCGCAAAGCGTAGTATCAACCTAGCATTGCATTGCATGCCGTGGCATGGCACGGGAAATGACGCCAGCGCTGCAGCGGGAGCACGAGTCGAAACGAACGGAAGCGCGGAAATGAGGCCAACGCTGCAGCGGGAGCACGATTCGGAACGAGCGGAAGCACGCCAGAATCGGCCCGGGAGGCTTCCCGGGCGCCAGAAGCAGAAATTCAGCATTTTCAAAAGAAAAATGTGTATTGGAATGGCCTTTTTTCGGCGCCGCCTCGGAACTCGATTTTCCGGCGCCGGCCGGAACCGGCTCCGGACCCGGCCCGGGCGCCGGCCCGGGCGCCGGCTCGGGCGTCCGGCCCGGGCGCCGGCTCGGGCGCCGGCCTGGGCGTCGGAATCGGCCCGGGAGGCCTCCCGGGCGCCGGAGAAATTCTGCATTTTCAAAAGAATAATGTGTATTAGAATGGCCTTTTTTCGGCGCCGCCTCGGAACTCGATTTTCCGGCGCCGGCCGGAACCGGACCCTGGCGGGCGCCGGCCCAGCGCCGGCTCGGGGCGGGTGCAGCACAGGGGCGCAGCGCAAATGGCCAGCGTGCAGCGGCTCGCATCGATTCGGAACGAACGGGGCCCGAAAATGAGGCCAGCCCCTCAGCGAGAGCGGCATTTTGGGAAAAGATGCAGGCGAAGAGAACCCAACTCGGGGAAACCTGTGTAAAAACCTGTATGTAAAAACACAGTACCGCTGGGGGGGGGGGGGGGGCGGATACTCCCAAGCCGTCATCAGGGGAAGGGGGAGAGTAGTATTCATCTTGAGTAATTGTGGAGGAGAACCAGTCTAAACCCAAGGGTCATCAACGATGTTGGAGTAAACCCTCCCTTCAAGCTCCCTCGTTATTGGTCCCTACAACGGTTCATTTCCATTGATGGAGCTGCCTCGTTGGAAGACACCCGTTTGAAGACCCTGAAGCATGCCAAGACATTGTTCTCGGGATTCCAACGCCACTGATCAACCTGACTGTTGCGTCTTGGCGATCCTGAAGCTTACCAGAACGCCATTCCTAGGATTCCAGCACACGTAACTGTTGCACCCGCATAATCCTGGATCTTTCCAAACACCATTACTAGTACGTTGATGACGGGAATCCGTAAAATATCTTGAACACTTAGAAAACGAATGTGCGCCGCGCTAAGGCGAGAGCCACATTTTGAAAACGACTCGCCCTCAATTCCTGAAGCTCTTACACCTTGTCAAACGAATCTGCGCCGCGCTATGGCGAGAACCACATTTTGCAAACCACCCGCCCTCAATTCGTGAATCTCTTGCAAATTTAGAAAACGAATGTGCGCTAAGGCGGTAACCGCATTTTGAAAACGACTCGCCCTCAATTCCTGAAGCTCTTACACTTTGCCAAACGAATGTGCGCTGCGCTAAGGCGAGAGCCACATTTCGCAAACCACCCGCCCTCAATCTGTGAAGCTCTTGCGAATTTGAAAACGAATGTGCGCGGCGCTGAGGCGAGGGCCACATTTTGAAAACGACCCGCCCTCAGTGAAATTGTTGCCAATGTTTTCAGCTTCCGAGTCATGAATGGCGAGGACGTCTCAGGCGAAACGCCCAGCCCGCCCTAAACATTGGCCTCGGGGAAACGGAATTGAGGAGGAGGAGGAGGAGGAGGAGGAGGAGGAGGAGGAGGAGGAGGAGGAGGAACACGAGCAGGAACAGGAGCAGAGCAGGAGCATAAGGCGAGGCAACAGGAGCAGGAGCAGGGCGAGAAGGCAGGGGCGGAGGAGGAGGAGAGGAGGAGGAGAGGAAACACGAGCAGGAACAGAGCAAGAGCAGGGTAGCAGAAGCAGGAACGGAGCAGGAGCAGGTGAAGGGCACGCGCGGTAGTGAGGCGGAGGAGGAGGAGGAGGAGGAGGAGGCGGAGGCGGAGGCGGAGGAGGAGGAGGCGGAGGAGGAGGAGGAGGCGACGGAGGGGGTGGAGGAGGGGAGGCGGAGGCGGAGGCGGAGGGGAGGGGGAGGCGGAGGCGGAGGCGGAGGCGGAGGAGCAGAGGCAGGAAGGAGGCGGATGATGATGTTGGATGATGATGATGTGATGATGATGATGTTGATGATGATGATGTGTATGATGATGATGATGATACTGATGATGATGATGATGATGATGCTGATGCTGATGATGATGATGCTGATGATCATGATTCTGATGATGATGACGATGATGATGATGATGATGCTGAGGCTGATGATGATGACGATGATGATGATGATGATGCTGATGATGATGATGATGCTGATGCTGCTGATGATGATGGTTACGATGATGATCATGATGCTGATGCTGATGCTGATGATGATGATGATGCTGACGCTGATGGTGATGATGATGCTGCTGATGATGATGATGATGATGATGAATGTTGATCATGGTGTCGAAGATGATGTGATGATGATGATGATGACTGTTGATGATGATGAATGATTGATGATGATGTGATGATGATAGATGCTGATGCTGATGATGATGCTGATGGCTGATGATGTTGCTGATGTGATGATGATGATGCTGATTGATGCTGCTGATGCTGATGCTGAATGCTGATGCTGATGATAATGCTGATGATTGATGCTGCTGTGAAGATGATGATGATGATGATGTGATGATGATGAATGCTGATGGATGATGATGACTGTGATTATGATGATGATGCTGCTGTTGATGATGATGATGCTGATGCTGATGCTGATGATGATTTTGATGCTGATGCTGATGCTGATGCTGATGATGACGATGATGAAGCTGATGCTGATGCTGATGCTGATGATGATGTTGCTGATGCTGATGATGATGGTGATGATGCTGATGATGCTGATGCTGATGCTGATGCTCATGATGATGATGATGATGATGATGATGATGATGATGCTGATGCTGATGCTGATGATGATGACGGTGATGATGATGCTGATGATGATGATGATGATGCTGATGATGATGATGATGCTGATGCTGATGATGATGATGATGATGCTGATGATGCTGATGAGGATGCTGAGGATGCTGATGATGATGACGATGCTGATGATGATGATGGGAATGATGATGCTGATGCTGATATTCATGCTGATGATGATGATGCTGATGCTGATGATGATTCTAATGCTGATGCTGCTGCTGATGATGATGATGATGATGATGATGATGATGACGCTGATGTTGATGCTGATGCTGATGATGATAATGATGATGATGATGATGATGCTGTTGCTGCTGATGATGATGCTGATGAAGCTGATGATGCTGATGATGCTGATGCTCTTGCTGATGATGATGCTGATGCTGATGCTGCTGATGATGATGATGATAATGATGATGATGATGATGCTGATGATGATGATGATGCTGATGCTGATGCTGATGCTGATGATGAGGACGATGATGATGATGATGACGACGATGATGAT